CTGTGTGGCGCGTGTATTTAAGCTCCCCACGTGTATTCGACGTGTATAGAATGACCATTTAACAACTACCACGTGTATCCGACGTGTATTTGTAAATGTCTTAATTGGGGAAGATTCCTAAATCGTTAAAATTGACAAAACACTTCTCTCTCTCTCTTCGCGATTTTTTCCAAATTGAAGCTCTCCCTCTTCATGATTTCCTCCAGATTGAAGTTGGATTCGTCTTGTTCGTGTTACAATCTTGAAGATTTCCTTGTGTAAGTTAGGATTGTTAATGATTTTTACATGCTTTGTTAAATGAATTCCAAAAAGCTAGGATTTTGTAAAAATATAGGGTTTGTGACTTTTGCGAATATTCTGTCCCTTCTTTACTATTACCCAGAAAATATGCTTTAAAACTTTATTTTTTAGTTGTTGTATGGGTTATATGAGTATATTCCATTATCTTAAGCTAGGGTTTGTTTGATATTTTGTAGGGCTGACAATTGACCATGGAGGAGAGCCTTATATTTACAAAGATTTACCATGGTGGAATCTTATCTGATATATCTGTCCCTACTTATGTTGGAAATTATGTGTCTGCACTCAGGTATATTATTAAGGACCACTTTTCCATTTTGGAACTACTGTATTATACTAAAGAATTAGGGTATGAAACTGTTGGAGGCTTTTATGTGAAGGATTTATTGAATAAAAAATGGGTCCTAATTATAACTGACCAACATCTCCTACACCTAATTAAAGACTTAAAACATGAGGACACTTTTGAAGTATTTGTCTGTCATGTATTAGATGTTGATGTTATCTAACTAAGGGACCTAGAGGCTATCTAACTAATGTTGGTGGTGAAGGTGTTGATGTTGACCTTGGTGAAGAGGGTAAGGCTGTTAACTTAGGTGGAGAAGGTGAGGCTGTTGACCTAAGTGGAGAAGGTGAGGTTGTTAACCTTGGTGGTGAGGGTGTTGATGTTAACATTGGTGAAGAGGGTGTGGATGATAACCTAGGTAGAGAGGGTGTGGATGATAACCTAGGTAGAGAGGGTGTGGATGATAACCTAGGTAGAGAGGGTGTGGATGATAACCTAGGTAGAGAGGGTGTGGATGATAACCTAGGTAGAGAGGGTGTGGATGATAACCTAGGTAGAGAGGGTGTGGATGATAACCTAGGTAGAGAGGGTGTGGATGATAACCTAGGTAGAGAGGGTGTGGATGATAACCTAGGTAGAGAGGGTGTGGATGATAACCTAGGTAGAGAGGGTGTGGATGATAACCTAGGTAGAGAGGGTGTGGATGATAACCTAGGTAGAGAGGGTGTGGATGATAACCTAGGTAGAGAGGGTGTGGATGATAACCTAGGTAGAGAGGGTGTGGATGATAACCTAGGTGGAGAAGGTGAATCTGATTTCTTGAGTAGTGATTCAGATCTAGATATACCTTCAGAAGATGGTTCAGATATTGATGAGGAGTTGAGAGCTTTTAGACAAGAAAGAAGAAACAAAAAACAGAGAAAAAAGGCTACTGAATTTGAAGAAATACCAGTTGGAGAGGCTGGTGGTATAGATAGAGGCTTTGAGGATATTGGAAAAAATAAAACTGACAAATATGCAGGAAAATTAGGTGGAGATGAGGATTATATTGATAGCTCTGACTGTTGGAGTGATGATAGTGATGAACAACTAGATGTGGATGTTGTTAGGGGAGTAGATATACCTACTAGAAGGAGAAGCAAAAAAGTTAGGTATGATGAAGATTGTGAAGTTTCAATATTTGAGCTTGGAATGGTCTTTGAGGGTGCAAATCAGTTCAGGAAAGCAGTGGCAGATTATGTTGTAGAGTACAGGAGGCAGATAAAGTTAAGACCTAATGAAAAACATAGAGTGAGGGTGAAGTGCAAAAATGCTAACTGTAAGTGATTGTTATATGCTTCCATTGACAGGGATTCAGGTGATTTCATTGTGAAGAACTATCATCCTGTTCACAAGTGTATTCCATTAAACAGGAACAAGTTGTGTAATTCAAAGTTAATTGCTAGAAAGTTTAAGGACAAAATTGTATCTCAACTATACATAAGGATTTGGGAAATTCAAGATTTGGTTAGAAAGACATTGGGTCTTTATGTTGGTAAGACTCTTTGTTACAGGGATAAACAGAGGATTATGAAGGAAAACATGGGTGATTGGAAAGTGGAATTTGCCAGATTATGTGACTATGCAGATATGATACAAACAAACCAATCCTGGAAGCTCTTGTTGGGGTAAAAATTGATAAGGAAACTGAACCAGGAAAAAACCTTTTTATGTATTTTTATGTGTGCTTTCATGCATTTAAGCAAGGACGGTTAGAGGGGTGTAGGAATATAATTGGATTTGATGGTTGTTTTCTTAAGGGAGCTTGTAAATATGAGCTATTAGTTGCTGTTGGAAAGAATGAGAAAAATCAAATGTACCCATTGCCTGGGCAGTTGTGGATACAGAAACAAAACATAGTTGTAGCTGGTTCATAAGGTATTTAATTGTTGATCTAAACTTGGGAATTGGTGAAGGTTTGACTGTAATGTCAGATATGCAAAAGGTATTGATTATACAGTTTTTTATATTTTTGTTTTAATTTGATCTTTACTTCTTCAATTACTTATTTTGTACATATTTTTTGTTAAGGACTTATTCCTGTCTTGTCAGAGTTATTACCAAATGCTGAGAAAAGGATGTGTACTAGACATATATGGAGTAACTGACATGTGAACTGGAAAGGAGAAGAAAGAAGGAAACAGTTTTGGAGATGCTCAAAGGCCTCATTTGAAGTCAAGTTTGGAGAAGAAGTTCATGCAATGTCCAAGCTAGGTAAGAAGGAAATAACAGAGGACTTGCTACATTATGATCCCAGAAATTGGTCTAGGGCCTTTTTCCAAACTCACTCCAAGTGTGATGTTGTAGAAAATAACATGTGTGAGACTTTCAATTCCTGGATCTTAGCTGCTAGACATAAATCAATTATTACCATGTTAGAGGATATTAGGCATAAAATGATGAACATACATATAGACATGATAAAATTTGCTGAAACATAGATATCAGAAATTGCACCTATGGTAAGGGCAATACTAGAAAGAAACAAGGAGTATTCAAATAACTGTAATGTTCAATGGAATGGGTTGAATGGTTTTGAGATTAGTGAGGGGGAATGTTCATTTGTTGTTGACTTGGAGAAGAAACATTGTGACGGTAGGTTATGGATGTTGAGAGGTATTCCTTGCCCTCATGCTATTTGTGCTTATTATTACTTGAATCAAGATCCTGATCAACATATAGAGGACTGGTATAAGAAGGAAACATTTCTCAAGGCTTACATCCATTTTATCCAACCTATTCCCAATATGAGGATGTGGCCTGAAACTACAAATCCATCAATAGAGCCTCCAAAGCCAAGAAAAATGCCAGGCAGACCTGGCAAGAAGAGAAGAAAGAGTAAGGATGAGCCAAAAAAATGGGGGAAACTTTCAAGAAA